ATAAGTTCTGTAACTCTAGAGAGCCCCGACAACTCCAAGCTCTCAAATCCTACTCCTATAGCCCTCAACAGATTCTGTGCCTGGGGTTACAACCTGAGCATGCTCCCCAGTGTTGTGCTTCCCGCCTGCCCTACACTCCTGGTCTAGGATGTGGAAATGCTAGTAGTTCAGGTGCATTTGCACCCTCACCACGCTCAGTCTCGAACTCTTTGGCAGAAATCAGCCATTAACCAGCAGAGCCATCCATTAGGGGTGTCAAGGGTGGTGGATTAAAAATGTAGCCTTTCAGAGCTTCGTCATGGATGGCACCTCTGTTCATTGCTTTCTGGGTCCTAAAAATATGACAATAGAAATAGTTTCAAAAGGAAAGAGAGAAAGAAGAGTGAGCCCCATACAGATTCTCATAAAGATCAAACAAAGGGACCAGGCTGGTAAGGCCAAGGGCATATTAAATTCCAGCCCCAATGCCTGATATCCTTCAGATCCAAAGCCCAGAGGTCACCCTCTCTTCCTGGCTGCTATATATAGGCATGCCCGTTAGACCACGCTTTTCTCCAGAGGTTGCTCCGCTCTGAGCTCTGCAGCAGATCCCCACCCTGGGGGAATGCTGTGAAGGGGGGGCTGCTCTTGCCTGCAGTTTTCCTCTTCATATTTGGTGGTATAGTCAGCTCTTAAAGTCACGGATTTAAAAAAGAGAAAAGAGAACGTTATTCAAAGTGTATAATAAAAAAGAGGTATTGCTTTCATAGCTTGCAAAGCTGCATGCTTAAATTAGGGAAGGTGTTTCTATTTAAAGTCATAACGTAGGCTGAGGCCCTGTACATATGCTTACAGACGTGTTACGTCTGCGTTCCTAGATCTGTGCTAACCGTGAGCGTGCAAATGGTTTTTCACCAGCATGGCATTCGCTGATGGCTGACTGAGACAGAAATGCTTTCTTTGCATAGCTGATGCTGACACGGAGTGCCAGAACTTTCTGAGAGCTGCAGTCCTCCCACAGTGGTTTTCTCTTTCTTTACCCAGGAGCTCCTATGTCACTGCTCACCCTCATGTGCTGGTCAGCTTACCAGGTCTCCTCATGATGTTCCATTGCCCACTTCTGAAACCCAGCATGGATGAATTTCCAAGCTCAGCCAATGTGGGAATTGATTTCTCTGGCATTTCAAAAATCACATGGATTCTTTACTTTTGACTTCTTGCCAGTGAACATGGAAAAGCTAAATTGTGTCTGTTAATTGGGAAGAAAAAGCTGTGAATGTGTTATTTATTAAGGTACCAATTAGCATATTTGGAAGCATGGGATTTTAAAGCAAGGAATGATGGTGGTGGTTGTGGGGGTCTTTCAAAATGCAGTAAGGACTGGATAGATGGCTCAGTAGTGAGGAAGAGACCTTGATGCTGTTACAGAGGCCAGGAGTTTGGTTCCCAGCACCCACATCAGGAGGCTAACAACTGCCTGTAACTACACTCCCATGGATTTGACCATGTTTTTCAGCCTCTGAGGGCACTCCCACACACATGACAATACACACACACACACACACACACACACACACACACACACACAGAGAGAGAGAGAGAGAGAGAGAGAGAGAGAGAGAGAGAGTTATTCCAAAATTGATGAATCAAAACTCTTAGTTCCCAGGACTGGAGAGAGGTTAAGAGCACTGGCTGCTTTTCCAGAGGACCTGGGTTCAATCCCCAGCATCCACGTTTTGGTTCACAACTGTCTGTAACTCCAGTTCCAGGGGTCCTCACATCCTCACACAGACATATACACGCAGGCAAAACACCATTGCACGTAAAAAAAAGAATAAATAAAACATCAAAATGTTAAAAAACAACACTACCTTCTAGTTCTCATTACTCATTTGCAGGAGATCCAGGAGATGAACAAGCTCATCATATGGCAACAGGAATTTGCCAACCACAAAATTCTGATCTGGTTCCTTCAACACAGGTGACCTTTCATATCTGGGGCTTCAACCAGCCATGGACTGAAAATACTTGGAGAACAAAATGGCATCACATCGGATGTATAAGGACTTTTCTTTGGTCATTATTCCCTCAACAGTACAGTTTACTATTCTTTGCATGGTGTTTACTTTATGTGAGGTACTGCATGCAGTCCAATCTAGAGAGGACCTAAAGGGTGGGGGAGGATTATGTAGGTTCATTGCATATATGACTCCATTTTATATGTGGGGTATAAGTATGAGAGAGAGAGAGAGAGAGAGAGAGAGAGAGAGAAGAATGGAGAGGGGAGGAGAGAGAGGAGAAGTGGAGAGGAGAGGGGTGGGCAGAGGAGAGGGAAAGGAGAGGGAAAGGAGGAGAGGGGAGGGGAGGGGAGGGGAGGGGATGGGAGGGGAGGGGAGGGAAGAAAC